AAATCAACATCTTAGAAAGTAAAAGTCTAATTCAACCTAGTAAAATGAAGTTTGCATCCACTATAATTTGGAAAAAATGACAATCAATCTTCGTATACAGTACCTCACTTTCACTCTGGTTAAGGAAATAGGGTACCAAGGGAAAACCATGAATGTGACAGTAAAGTGTTGCATGCAGTGGGCCTAATAACTGATGAAACAATACTAAGCATTCCTGTCTTTAACGAGACACTGCTCGTTAAATGAAAATGGCGCTTGCTACGGTCATGATTGATCTGGAAGATTATGAGCTGGGTGAGAATCAGATAGTTTGATTCTGGAAATTATAGGTCAGAGACGATGGAAGAGACGGGAACTTCTAAATTAATGTGAAAAGCACAATCACCATCACAGCAGTACAAGATCAATCACAAAGAATTGAGGAAATTGTGCCGATTATATCAGTACAAGAGGGTCATGCTAGAGGATGACATGGATGAAGATTGCAATTGTTCAAGTCAATTCTCTAATCATACAACTCCAATTGCTGAACTATTATAACTAACTATCCCTGTGTTAAACCTTGTGCACTTATGTAAGTACCAAACCAACATTGTTTCAATCTTCATTATTAGATCCCAGGTCAGAATATGGCATCATGGTACCCTATTCTTCATTTTAGTTGCTAGTATACAAAAGCTGCATACTATTAGCACTAGTTATATTTATTAACCATAAAAAACCTGTTTTTCAAAGCTTGTTTCCGTAATTAAAATATGCTTCTGAGGTACATGTGACAGGGGAATCTGGAAATGACCGGCAAAGACATTATCATTAGTTGATTACCTGGTCCACTCGTAGTACAGTGCATGCAGCATCTACAGCATATTTAAGAGCAAAGAGCCTGAACAGAAAAAACAATAAGATGAAACTGGTCTTTCAGGTGATATGAAGATAATTTCTCATATTTAAGAGCAAAGAGCCTGAACAGAAAAAACAATAAGATGAAACTGGTCTTTCAGGTGATATGAAGATAATTTCTGATTTCATATAATTGTTTCAATCTTAGAAGTTGAAAGAATGCATAAACTCCATCAACGATAGGAGCCCTTAATGTCTACAATTTTTTATTAGACAAAGCTTATCAAGGGAATCTACAAAACAATAGTGAAGAGACAGTTCATTATTCGCTCAAATTTTGGGGTTGCCACCGTATAAAACATGCTTTGTTAGAATATAGCTTACTTAGTCACATGGAGATCCCAAATGCTCAAGGTTGAAACATCCTTACAGCCACCTTCCAAATCAATGCCAACTTTGGCATTTCCAGATGCATGTTCTGCATATAGCGAAGATATGATCTCCATTGCATTTAACCCAGCATTCTCAGCCAAAGTTCTAGGAATCATTTCAAAACTTTCTGCAAATTTTGCTATGGCATACTGATCCAACCTACAGAGCCATTGCAAATGTTTAGTCAATTCCATTAAAATGTCAAATACCAAATAAGCAATGAACAAAATACTTGAGAAAGGAGAAAAAAAAATGTCTGAGAGATTAACTATC